CCCCTACTGTGAGCAACTGTTTCTCTTAATCAGTTCCGAGAATATTTTGTTTCGTACACTTGCCATCTTTCATGCAAGGTGATGGTGTTTAATTCTCCAAATATTTTCCTTTAGTCACACACCATTAACTTCTGTACCTTTAAACAAAATACGCGAGCAACTATATCGTGACGATCAGTGGCTATTTGACCAGGCATAAGTTCTTGAGTAACATTCTGCCACGAAGGATTAGTCTTGAGTGTACTCCTGCATAACCATTTTGCCAATGTCGTTAGGTCTAATATTGTCATCTGCATTAATCGCATCTTGTAGATGTATGTAATTTTCACCACGTAATTTTTTCTGATTTAGAGAAATGTAACGAAGACGTTCACTCTCTACTACTTCTATACATATTTAGTAAAAATTGATTGAAGAGTTGCCTTGTACGCAGAAGAAGATTGAAGTCATGCTCTCGATGCATCATGTAATACGCATAAAAGTCCATACAGGAAACTTTTTTATTTGGAATTGGTTTGTTCGTTGTCGGATGGATGACTGAAATATTGAAATGATATCCTGATTCACCTTTGCCGAAAATTAATGCATACTGCAAAGCATCATATTATAAAATTTATGAGTATCAGCTACGCGCTTTAACGCATTATCATGTGCTCGTAACACTATGTCTCGAGGAGACCACGGGTCACCAGTAACCAAAACAGCAACCTCATTGACCAGCGGTGCATTATAACGCCTCATGTTCACCACGTGGAGTTCGATCAGCTTAAATGACAACTTTGTAATTATCTGAAGGTCAGTTGTCTATCGCACTTTTAAAAATCTTCAATTTTTAATAATGTTTCTCTTTCTACTCCACCAATATACTGGCAACGACGATTTACTTCATTTTGTTCATCACCCAGAAAATACACCTGCAACAATTTATGCTGATCATTATATCCTGGAAATACTTGTAGTGATCCAATTTGATGATTTATCTGTCCTTGTACAGTAAAGGTTGGTGAAAATCCAGGCATTCTTATCACTTTATCAACTCCGAAGGTTGTCATTTTAAAGCAAGAGTTATACTTCCTTGTTTTACTTAGAAATCTTTTTGACTCATCTGTGACACTAAACAATAAAGCTTTTAAAGGTTCTTCTGGTTCACCAAGTAATGGAAGTGAAACTTTACCAGCGCTGCAGCACATTCCAGCAGTTTCATCTCATCATTTAAAAGCATCACAATACTGACATTTTTGATCCATTGAGCCAATAACATTTAAGGGATGATTAGAATACTCAACTAAAGGATCATTTTGAAAAACACGTTGTCGTTTTGCTGTTGTCTTCTCAGCTCTTCTAAGAGTAACAATCATTCTCAAATAATAAATTATAAATTGGCATTCATACGTATATATTGACACAAATAATAACAATGAAGAAAAATTCAACATAACTTAAGGTATAATCTATAGAAGTATAGTGTTTAGTCTCCGTAGTTTAGTAAATTGGGTTGGATGTTGACGTGGCTGTCGGTAATATAGTGTGATGGTATTATAATAGTGATGGTATTTCTCTGATTTACGTTATTGATGCATTTTTGTTTTCTTACGTTTTTAAATTTTTCGAGAAACAATTATATCTGCCAAACTTACTTTTTTCAAAATTCAAAATTTTTATATATATTTTACTAACATATATTGTTTAAATGAGATAACCCACCCCTACATATATACACCACTCTACTCGGGTAAAACTGGCACACCCTAATGAAACACCACACTGCACTCAACATTGAGAGCACTACACATGATGACACCACCACACTCAATCCCTGAGTACAACATGCACGAAGACACCTAACAAAAAGGACGGGAACATCGCTAAATCATCATTCGCTATATATAATTCAATTGGACAGCGCAATCATTTCGACTCGACAGCACTCCACGCATCTTAAACACTCGCTTATCGTTTACGCGCCTGAGCGCCACCTTACCTCTTTCGTTTATACCACGTCGTTCAACATCGCTCCGGACTTTTTTACTGCGGATTCCATTCGGACAGTTACTCGATTCTCCTTTATTAAATAATTTATAATTACCTGCTTTAGAAAATAATACCTGGTTTTTTTAAATAAAATCTGTCGCACGAATTAAATGGCATTTTCATTTACCTAATTAAAGCGATTCTAAGTGACGTAAGTGAAGTGAATATCCCAGTGGTGTATACTCCCCAATAAATTGAGTACGAAAGTAATCACATAATATATAATCCTCCAAAATAATTTTTTTATCAATCCGTAAAAAATTTATATATTTTTTAATAAAAAGTATCCTATGTTCATTCTGACACCTCCAAGAGTATGTGTACAAAGTTTCATAATGATCGGTTAAGTAGTTTTTGCGGTAAAAGGTCAACTATGGGCACTTGGGTCCACATATTCAGTACCTGGGGGTTTGAACAGTTTTGGTTCGATTTAGACAATTTTTCAAGGTCACAAGGTGGCATACTTTAAAAGTATTATTCTCGCAAAGTTTTACCCCGATATAATCAGGAAGCACTAATCCGGGTGACCTACCAACAACTGCGAATATAACTGCAACGAATGAAATGTTATCGAATCGATCATAAAGATGATATTGACGGATTCACATTATGTTTTAATTAATGCACGAATACATTTTTTTTCAGAGTGTATTGGTATCTTTTTCTGCAATTGATGCAATATATTTTTCGATAAGCATAATCAAGTTGTTCCCAATTTTTTTTTTGCACAAGAATTTAGTCTGTAGTTTTACACACATACCCCACGTTGGGCGCCAAAAATATTGTATTATAATAATTAGGGGTCTCCAGTCAACGGCGACGTGCAAAAGAACCAAAGTGTAAATACCGTACTATATTTCCATCGACCGACCGAATAACGAACTCCGATATGCTTCTGTTATCTATTCATTAGCGAATGATTTATTTTAATAGTTGATCGTATGTATATACATATATACTAGCTTTTACCCGCGGCTTCGCTCGCATCGAATCTATCAAATAAGTATCAGAGATCATTATAGTAGAAACGGATCAATAAAAAGAATATATTTTATTGCTTGGCTGGGATTACTTACTTGAAAAACTTACTAAATGCAATGAAGTTTCAAATTTTAAAATATACTTTATTGAATCAATACAACAAAGATTAAAATATATTTCACTATAAAGAAAATAAATAATTTTGAAATGTAACAATTAAAAATAAGCAATATAGATAATTAATCAAGGATACTTTTATAAACTTTTATTAGTAATTATACGTTTTTCCGTTGTGTGCAAATATGTGTAAATTCTTGGCATTGATACACGCGAACAGGCTACATATAGTTGACCATGAGAAAAGCATGACTTTTCTAAATGCACTCTTGCCACTTGTAATGTTTGTCCTTGTGCTTTGTTTATAATTACGGCAAAGCTAAGCTTGACGGGAAACTGAACTTTTTTAAATAGGAATGGAAGGTCAGTGGGAATAATTGGAATCCGAGGTATGATCACACTTTACCCTTTACCAACACCTTTTAAAATAGCGCCAAGTATGTTCTGTTCCAATTTCGTTATCCGAAGTCGTATTCCATTACATAGCAGAGGATCATTTAAATTTTGCATAAGCATTACTGGTACATTTAGTTTCAATTTAAGCTTATGAGATGGTACACACGACAGTTAAAGTGAATTTAAAAACTCCACAGGATATGAGGTACTTAATTCTGTATCCATTGACAAATATTCCATGATTTCCGCTTCCACCTCTTTTAAAATGTCATTGTTGATTCTTTTAACAACTTCATTTTTTGTTGCTAATATTGCTCTTGCGCACAGCCACTGATCACTACTCAAATTTTCTTGCAATTCGGGAAAAACATGGGCAATGAGATCCACATCATTTTCAACTAAATTACCAAATTCTCTTGAAATTGATACATAACCTTCAGCATCAACATCTAAACAACCATCTCCAATTTTCAATAACATTTAAGCATAAAGTCCCGAATCCACGTCATTATGAAGATGCACTCTCATATTCGTTTTGAGACTGAGTTTTTCAACTCTCGACCATAGGCTTGATGACTTTAAGCATGCTTGAATTTCATCTGCTGGTGTTCCCCTCTGAATAACCGGAAGAGTTTGGCGAAAATCACCAGCCAGTAAAACTACCATTCCTCCCATTATATCCGTACCGTCTCGCAGGACCTGAAGAGTTCGGTTTAAAGCTTCTGTAGCCTTTTTGTGAGACATTGTATCTTCCTGTGCAAGATTTAATGGTAATTTCAAAACCTAATGTGCCATACGGCCGCCGTTTAAAAGCGTTGCGGCAATACCCGAAGAAGCTACTGCAACTGTTTGTCTCTATTTGTCTGTTTTTTCTGATATTTGTACATTAATAATAAGTTGAAAAAAAAACGTTTTTCCGGTTCCTCCTGGTGCATCGAGAAAGAAAACTCCACCTTTGCCGGATTCTATTCTATGTAAAACTTGACGGAAAACATGAGCTTACTCTGGAAGTAACATAGGTATTGTATTAATTCTTCCACTTGTTGCTGCAGTGCTATGAAATCATAATCTAGCTCTCGAGCAATTTCGTTTTTAAAATCATCCTCATTATCTCTTCGAGGACTTTGCATTCCAAAATCATCTAATTTTTTTCTAACCATTGTAAAAACCTTGTTTTCAATTAGAATTAGCGTTTGGTTGTAAATATGTTAATTGAAAGTCATATCTGTATGTACTTGTTGAAGTTGATGTAAAATATCTTCAGCCATGTATTCTTTGTACTTATCCCAAAGAATTTGAGGGTTAGATAGACCGCAAAAAGATAAAATTGTAGCATAAAGTTCCCTTATTCTATCTGGTGATCGACATTGTACGGCTTCCTCTATAGTTTCGTTCTATGCTTTAACCCCAGGTTGATTTTCTACATGTGTACCTTGAATGCGACGTTGCCATTGTTTTTTTTTGTTCCATCTATAATAACGGGGAACCTCAGAGTACAATAATGTCTTTGCAAAATTATCATTCTAACAAAGCTTGAAAAACGCAGTCTGTGTTGTCTCAGGGGGATACAAACGTCTGCCTTAAAAAGTATTGTCATTAAAAAAACACGCTGTCGGTTTTCTAAATGTACTGTGATGTAACAGTAGGATATATTTCATGCAGTGGAAAGCCACGAAGCCGCTATGCCGCCTCGTTGCTACTGACATATCTTCCTGCATGGTAGGTTTGTATTTCGCACAGCATCTTTATTATGCAAATTGAAGATTGCTTGATGACTTCCTTTATTGATATATAATATTTTCAAATATACTTAATCGCACGTACAGAATTACAGGCTTCAACATTTATGTGGGCGTTGAAAATTTTACACAAAATTGGCGAATAGGGCACAACCCAGCTATTATCAAAACTCTTTATTTTCCCACTGCAAGTCCGAATGTTAACATGTTTACCACCATCAGCAGTCGCCCTTCGTCTATATAACGGGTAACCCTTATCATTGTGAACTGTTTCTCTAATCAGTTCTCGAGAATATTTTTTGGTGTACACTTGCCATCTTTCATGCAAGGTGATGCAGTGTTTCGAATTCCTCCAAATATTTTTCCTTTAGTCACAACGTTCATTAACTTCTGTACCTTTAAACAAAATACGCGAGCAACTATATCGTGACGATCAGTGGCTATTTGACCAGGCATAAGTTCTTGAGTAACATTCTGCCACGAAGGATTACAGGAAAAGTTACGAGATCAGTCATAATTCGTAATAAGTGAGCGTCTTGAGTTACTCCTGCATAACCATTTTGCCAATGTCGTTAGCTAATATTGTCATCTGCTTAATCGCATCTTGTAGATGTATGTAATTTTCACCACGTAATTTTCTGATTTAGAAAATGTAACGAAGACGTTCACTCTCTACTACTTCTATACATATTAGTAAAAATTGATTGAAGAGTTGCCTTGTACGCAGAAGAAGATTGAAGTCATGCTCCGATGCATCATGTAATACGCATAAAGTCCATACAGGAAACTTTTTATTTGGAATTGTTTGTTCGTTGTCGGATGGATGACTGAAATATTGAAATGATATCCGATTCACCTTTGCCGAAAATTAATACATACTGCAAAGCATCATATTATAAAATTTATGAGTATCAGCTACGCGCTTTAACGCATTATCATGCTTAACACTATGTCTCGAGGGGACCACGGGTCACCAGTAACCAAAAGCAACCTCATTGACCAGCGGTGCATTATAACGCCTCATGTTCACCATGGAGTTCGATCAGCTTAAATGACAACTTTGTAATTATCTGACGGTCAGTTGTCATCGCACTTTTAAAATCTTCAATTTTAATAATGTTCTCTTTCTACTCCACCAATATACTGGCAACGACGATTTACTTCATTTTGTTCATCACCCAGAAAATACACCTGCAACAATTTATGCTGATCATTATATCCTGGAAATACTTGAGTACCAATTGATATTATCTGTCCTTGTACAGTAAAGGTTGGTGAAAATCCAGGCATTCTTATCACTTTATCAACTCCGAAGGTTGTCATTTTAAAGCAAGAGTTATACTTCCTTGTTTTACTTAGAGATCTTTTTGACTCATCTGTGACACTAAACAATAAAGCTTTTAAAGGTTCTTCTGGTTCACCAAGTAATGGAAGTGAAACTTTACCAGCGCTGCAGCACATTCCAGCAGTTTCATCTTTCCATTTAAAAGCATCACAATACTGACATTTTCGATCCATTGAGCCAATAACATTTAAGGAATGATTAGAATACTCAACTAAAGGATCATTTTGAAAACCAGTACCATTAAATACAGGCCAATACTTAGTCATGACGACGCGTGGTCCTTACTTCTGCATCATGAATTCTTCTTGCCTGCAATTGTTCTGGCGTTGCTGTCGCTCTTCTAGCTTCCTGCTGCATAACTTGTCTTTCTGAACGAACTCGTGTCTGAAGAGAACTTTCAGCAGCTCTCAAAACACGTTGTCGTTTTGCTGTTCTCTTCTCAGCTCTTCTAAAAGTAACAATTATTCTCAAATAATAAATTATAAATTGGCATTCATACGCATATATTGACACAAAAAATAACAATGAAGAAAAATTCAAAATAACTTAAGGTATAATCTATAGAAGTATATACAGCTTGCAATTGTTTTCTCTAGTCTAATTAATTTTAATACCCTTACTCACCTTTCGAAGCAGTTCAGACCCTTACTGTTAAAACCTTGTGGAACTTTTGAACACATTTGTCTTATCTGACTTACTTTTCAAAATTAAACAGACTATACGAGACAGACTCGTATTGCTTTCTCGTAATAAATAAAGTCGTAACAATTTATAATTTAATTTTTATATTTAATTTTAAATCTTAGCTGTTGGAATTTTTGTTTCTGTAGAACAGATCTCGACGCTTAAAAAAGTATTTTGCCTTTCACAACTCGGGTAACCCCGCACGTATGTGTATTGCGTTCTTCACGTCGGTTGGGCTTGAGGAGGGTAATCGTTGGTTTATTACACTACTCAACAAATTTGAACGAAAATTTTGCGATTGATGTGCTAAGAGAGCTGTGAGGTATTTGAGGTACCCTGATTACGAATTTAAGTTCAAAAATTTCTATCACGTACAGCTATTTTTGTCATTTTAGTAAATGGTGTTAATTAGAGCCCTACACCCCTTGACTAGAACATAAAATATTCATATTATTAGGAAATTTTTACTATCATTTTCGGTTTTTGCAACCCTAAACAAAACAGCCTCTAACATCGCAGTCGCAAAATGGCTGTTAACCAGTGTTATTATTATTATCATGATAGATAAACCCGACAAAGAAACAGCTAGCTAGTTTCGACTTTTGCCGCAATAAATGGCCCATCAGAGCATCAAGGGTACTAGAGGAGCATTTACTTTGGTCGAAGATTGACAAGCCAACTGCTAAATAAATGTAAATGAACAAAATGTTAAGCATGTTACAAATGTATCAGCCGATTAAAATGAATAACATCTTAGTGTCACAAGCAAATGGTGCAGCTTGTCTTGACATTCACTTTTACAGAAGGCTCATATGGAAAAAACATATATCCATCAAAATAACTAGAATGAAAATAATGGTAGCGAATTTAAACTAGCTTTTAAATAAAAATTGTAAACTTAGCTTTGACAACAAAGTTCTGCTATACAACGTGGTAATAAAGCCGATTTGCTTATTCACACGGACACCTGAAAATGTAAGGTTTAGTTGAAAAAATCCATTAGTTTTGCAGATTGAAGCTATTAATTAGCATAGTTAGAACGACCAGACTTAGGTTATTTCGAAGGTAATTTTATAATGCCACTCTTCCTATTGGAAGAAAACTGGGTCAGTCGATCGAAAAATCATTCGTAATAGACAGGAACAGATAGTAATCACTTGGTACTACGTCCGACCTATAAGGTGGATGCATAAGCAACTCAAGCTGTCGGACCTTCTGGCGTAACACTATAGATGTGTGTGGCGTGGCGTTGTCCTGATAGAGCACAACTATTTTCCTATTGGTCACCTCAGGGCGATTGCTTACTTCAGACGGTCTAATTGTTAACAGTACAGGTACAAATTAAGAGTTTGGCTGTATGAGAGCTCAGCAGAAGTTCGCAGATGGAAATTGTGTAAATAAGTTTTTGTTTTGCGTTAATGTGACACCCATAGAAGCTTCTTTATATCTAAACTTATTTAAATGGTTCCAAACCGCTTTTTGCGCAATGTTTCGCTCCTTGGCAAATAGTGATGGTCTGAGTCGACGTTTTCCATTATTTTATCAATATTTTCGACGATTGGCTTTTCAGAACATCGTACATCTTTGTCATCATAATTATTAAATCGACGAAAACAAATTTAAGCGTGATTGACTGTTACAGGACCATAACCAATATTCACATTTGAAGCTGCCTGACTTACGTTTTCGGTTTCATCGGTTAATTTGTAAGGCATCTTTATGAAAAAAATGAACATGTAATGTTCAACACACATAGTGTAAAGTGTATGTTATCGGTTAGAAGTTCCGCAGGCTAGTTATTATTATTTACGTGTTCCTAGTTATACCGTTTACATATAACGCCTAGTTTCACTTAGCGTGGCATGTTAAACAACAAATATTAGTGATATTCCACCCTACTTTCTTATAGCGCTAAGATGATGGTTATATTATATATCTGTCCTTTTTTCTCCCTGAAGCTACTAATTTGTCGGTACCGCCGATATCGGACCACTATAGCAGACAGCTTTCATAAAACCTGAAAGATCAATATCATATCCTTGTATGGAAAACTTTTTTATTTGACAAGATATCTTCGCGAAATGTCACTGATAATTGTCTAAAGCAACAGTGAAATCTCCGAAGATATTGTTCAGGTCAGACCACTATAGCATATAGCTGTCATACAAACAGTCGGATAAAAATCAAGTTCTTGTATATGGAATTTTGTATTTGTGAAGGGTATTATAGCAGCGGTGGTACCGAAGTTAACGTTTTTTGGTTTTTGCATATATTTAAACCTTATAAATTTTGAGATTATGTAATATTCAGGTGCACTTGAATTTATCTTTTTCCTACTTTTCCTCCTTTTTTTTGCATTGCAAACCTAAGCCTTTTCGTTAAATTGTGTAACATTGTGCTCAGACTATAATAGGTATTTTAGTCATAGTTATAATAACGAGATAAAGTAATTTACGGAGGTTTGTTGTTCTGGTTTGTCCGACCATCTTCACGTTCAAACGATAATTTAGGATAACGTGACGCACATGTTTTCAGACATTACCAACCCATGACAATAATTAAATAATAACCCATGACAATAATTAAATTTAAATAATTTGGCTTAAATTTCAGCATACTCGTAATCTAGATTTTGGTGTGAGCTAGTTTTATTGACATACCTTGTTTGTGCTGTTATAAACAATCTAATACACTATGTACTGAAGGTACGAAATTGAAAAAAGAAAACAAATATGAAAATAGTACACTTATTGTACTTAAAAAACCTCAAACAGTCCTTATAAAAGAACTCAATAGTATGTACATTTTTGACAGGGACTCTGTCGATGAAGTAAAAATAGGATGTTTTCAGTGAAATCTCTGCGCATGAGTGGTATCTATGTAGAAAATAGTAGTACTTATTTCAGTTCGCAATTTCGTGTTGAAGAACAAAGAACTTTTACAAGTAATTCATCTACTGCAATGAACTCCAAATAAAACTTTTGTCGATATAATTAAAAATGTAACTTTAAAAATTGCTTTTTGTGGAAAAATCGTGATTTGAATTAAAAAAAATAGAATAATATAATAATTAAATATCATTATGTGAGTACATACAAAGCTACAAGTATGTGCCATTGGGGTTACTATATTTTAAGGGTTAATTATACCAATTTTGTGGTATCTCAACGTTATTGCAGAATACATAAATGACACAAACTCTAATATTTCAATAATTTATAATATATTAAAATAAAACATTATATCAAATATAAATATAGTTCAAATGTTACACGTTAAAAATATTAACCACTGGGTGTGTCGATTGCCAAATAATGTGATGAAAAACACCATCTAAATTACATGTAGCTCTTATTACTTCATATTCACATATTATAATTCTTCTATCGTGGAATCGTTAAAATTTTAGCTCAGTATTTATAATAGATAAATGATTTTTTAAATAATAAGCTATTTCATTTAATATGCAAGTTTTCAACACAAGAAAACCTACTCAAGCAAAATTTTAGTCGTGCAAAACTTCAGAAACATTAAACCCTTACAAACATATACATACATATATCATGGATAAAAAGTGTCATTAACTTAACGTATCACATGTTTTAGAAAAGTTAGCTAATAGGAGCTAGTTTGGAAACTTATTGGCAGTTTCAAGTTTAAAAAGCAATTTCCCTTTGTCCGAGCGTGCATCTCTTAATTGTTTCTTCAAAAACTTCGACGAATAGCAAGCGTTTTGTCAGAACTAGAAAATTATTTATCAAGAAATCCTTCTTGATTTTAGTACGAATCGGATAATAACCTATAGAAATTGATTTCTGCTCTCTCAAAAGGCGCTTTTATCGTCTTAGAGATTACAAAAATTTAAACTCGAAACCAGATTCGAAAAAAGGGAGATACTAAATTTAAACAAATGCACTCACTTTTTATTTAATAATAGCAAACAAACTTTCTTTTAATAGCTTCATGGTTCATATTATAGTGTAAAATTTACACAATCAGAGTTTAATTTGCCAACGCATTTTTTTTTTATTTCTTGAAAATGGAACTGTTTCACAAGAAAGCTCAATCCGCTTTCAATATAGTTCTGACTACGTAACCGGAAAGTACCCGGATTTTTACACAAAATTGAAACAAGTAAGGAAAAGCTAAGTTCGGGTGTAACCGAACATTTCATACTCTTGCAACTTGCAAGGGTCAAAGCCGGGGAAATACCTTCAGGTGTTGGCAAAACTTTGTTTTAAAAATATGTTGGGAAAGAATTCAACATTCATTATTCGACGAAATCATGAATGAATTACAATCAAATTTCTTTCTTATTAACTTATATTGTAGGTTATAGACCCAATTAGTTTTATAACTTACTTCGCATCAGCTAAAATTATTTTGAAATTCTCTTCAACTGAGATATAAGTGATATAAACTCAACCGAAAGGCTAAGTGTAATGTATTGAGTTGATGTGGAAAACGTCAACCAAAGGATCGAAATTGATGATATAAGGGATATGAGATTAAGACCAAGGTATATACCAACTCCATTCATTTTCAGCGCTAAACCATTGATAAGGTTCGTTAGAATAACGGATGTGTAATATAATTTCACATATTTTCGGCATTAAACTATAGTAACTCCAGTAATATTCGTACGCTTAATTTTGCTATAATATCTTACATATTGACCCATGTATATGGTATAACGCCTTTCGAAAGTTCGAAAATCTTTATTAGGTAAATATAACTCACATATTGGCCTACACATATGGTATAAAGTCAACCGGAAGCTCAAAACTGTTTCAATTAGGTACATGGAGGCTAAAGGAAGTGTTGAACCGATTGAACCCATTTTTGACATGCAGACATACAATTATCAGGATACAAATCTCTCCGAATTTCAATTATGAGTCTCACACATTGACCGATATTTTCGATAAAAACTCAGCCATAGGCACTGGGGTTCTCGTATTCGGTTTCTGTGGGTTTAAAAAGTTTTGGTCCGATTTTGACAATTTTTGGACGTGATATGGCATATTGATGCTTGATTTGTATACTGGAAAGTGAAAATGTCAGATGGAATTTAAAGCTGTATTACATGGGAAGTAGGTGTGGCTACTAATCGATTTGGTTAAAATTGGTCGGATAGGTCCAGAGATATGTGGTTTCTCCTAAGCGTGGGCGGTGCCACACCCAGTGCCCAATTTTGACACATAATCCTATAAAGCCCTTTTGTGCCATCCTGGATGTAAAAGTTAATGTCTCTGACGCTATTACTTATTTATCTATTGCACCTGAACCTATATTATAGGTCATAGACTCAATTTATTTTATAACTATACTAGTTTTCCATTGCCAATAACTAATAAGTGTTTTGAGAAAGTTTTAGCAAAAGGATCTTGAAGCATATATATGCCCACGTCAGTTGTATTTTTTTTGATTTTAAGCAAGCGTTGATTTCATTACCACACGTTAAACATAAAGTAACGGGAAATGTTTGTCTGAAATCACCTGAAAGGAGTTACAAAGTGCCGCCAAATAGTTTGTCGTTGTTTTTTATAGATTTCGATATCGTGTCCAAATAATAATTTTACATTGTTTCAGCACTGTGGCCATGGACGATTGTGTTTTTATGTTGCGCACTGCATCTGGGTTATTTTAAATATTTACGCGACGCCATTTCTTGATGGTACCTCAGCAAACAGTAGCGAAATAAGGAATGTTTTGCCAGTTCCACGTTGTACAACTTTGCCCTGCCGAAACTGCCAGCTTAATGCGGTCGAAAATTGTTTTTTTGTTTACCATTTAGCAGTGGAAGAATTCGACAGTATCATACTTCATTTCACGATTTATATCTGTGTTGATTAAATCAGATTCATTTCGATCTGGTGAAATCATACCGAAATGACTGATTGGTAAATTCGCAATGACAATGCAAAGATCCTCAATAGAAATCAAAGCTTTATTGTACATTGTGTCACCTAATGATATCGCTAAATTGTGGCACCTTGTGCGGTGTCGATGCAATATATTATCAGTCATCGAATATTTGTGATTATTCCACAGCATTAGTGAGAACCAGAGCATCGGAATGTATTACGTTAAGAATATGAGGTTTGCTCCAAGGTCTAGACCAAATCCATTCATATTCAGAGCTAAACTGTTAATATAATTTTCTAATTTTTAAGAAACCTTGTCCACTTTATTTTATTAATATTACATAACATTACATATTTTGATCAAACTAAACAGTTAAAAGTCAGCTGGAAAGCGAAAATCACTATTCAGGGTATATTAGGTTTGGGCTTGTTGCATTAACGTTTAACATTGCTCAGGTAGACTCGAAAACATATTTTCAAGCAATCTTATAAATAAATAACTCACACACTGGCTGACATATTCGACATACGGTTTGTTAGAATAACGAAAAGCATTATATAAGATTAAGCTAAGATATATCCAATATTATTCGTTCAGATAATTTTGCTAAGATCTCTTACATATTGACCGATATATATGGTATAAAGCCAACCGAAAGTTTGAAAATCTTATACTAGGTGTATAAGAGATAGGGGTAGTATATACCCGATTTTATCTTTTTGGCATTACTACATTTATTAACAGAAAAAGATTCTTTGTTTAAGGTACCTCACATACCAATATATATATAAGGAGTAAAGTCAACCGGTTGTTTGAAAATTTTGATATTAGTTATATGGGGCTAGGGCAAGTTTTCACCCATTGTTCCAGTTTAGGAACACAAAATACACTATTATTAGAAAAACACGCTTTTTCAATTTCATTAAGATATCTCATGGGGTATAAAGTAAGTATGAAATTCGAAAATCTTTTTATTAGGTCTATATAAGCTAAGGGAATTATTGATCCAATGCAATCCATTTTTGGAACACAGGCATAGTTTTATCAGAAAAGGATTCTCTCCAAATTTCTACAATTTATTTAACAGATTGATCGATATTTCTGATAAAAAGTCCAGATTAGGAACTGGGGTCCATATATTCGGCACCTATAGGCTTAAATAGCTTTCGTTCAGTTTGAGCAATTTTTGTTCATACACTTCAAATGCACTATTCGTGCAAAGTTCTATACGGATACATTGATTGCTTCTTAATTTCTATACTGGAAAGTGAAAGAATCTGATGGAATTTAAAATTGTGTTATATAGGAAGTATGCGAGGTTATATTCCGATTTTACCCATTTCTGCACTGTGACATAGGAAAATCAGAGCAGTGTTACTTACAGAACCGGTTGAGCAGGTCCCGATATATGGGTTTTTACCTAAATGTGGGCGGTGCAACACCCTACGACCAATTTTGACAGCGGCTTTTATAAAACCTTTTTGCATCATCATTGGTGTGAAATTTTATGTCTTTGACGTATTTAATTTTTAGGGAGTGGGCGGGGTTTATCCAAATTCACTTACTTTCGTAGCGTTAGTAGGGGTGGTACAAAGATTTGTCGTGAGTGAATTTGGTTATTATAGCTTCAATGGTTTAGGAGATACGTACATTAAACTTATTTAAACGCGGGGCTATTCCTTCTACTAAATTACAATGTTAAACTTAACTTAGTGATTATTTAAGGCATAGGTATTAGATTATATTCGTTTATTCGATTCATCCTTCATACTTTTTTGCCAAGGAATACGTGTACAAAGCTTTATTACGATATCTTAATTTTTACTCAAATTACAGCTTGCACAGGCGGACAGATGAAGGCACGGACGGACAGACAGACAGTCAGTATTTTTATACAAACAACCGTTAGGTGAACAAAACCATTATACTCTGTAGCAACATGTTGCAGGAGTATAAATATGTATATGTGCACTTTAAGTGTTTATTTAGTTTCTATAGTAATATTGTTAGTAATAATATTTTTAACTTTAACTATAGCAGCACTTAAACTGAAGCAGCTTCTCGATCGAGAGACCTTGGCTCCGTAAGCTTCCGATGACAACTCAATCTGTACCTGCCGTCCAAGCAGACATAAAACATGGCAGACAAAATACACGATATCACATTACAAACAAGACAAATCAATCCGGTCCAAGAACTAACAGCACCATCAGCAGTCGAATCACGAATTTTTCGTCTCGAAGCTTCAATTAATGAGCTAGCTTCTTGTTTTAAGAGACAAGTTATATCTCGTTCCCGTTCTCGTCATCGCTTCACCGAACAACAACACGTGCTGGTATCATCAAAATTTCGGCAATAAAGCGAAACGTTGTCGATCGCCTTGCACATTTCAGAGAAACCTAACGTCGGGCCATTAGTGGCGGTCTCGGCTCCTCAATCGAATGAAACCGCCTCTTCATAACAGTACATGCCATCAAAATTCAATGTCTGGTGGATATTGACGCTGATCTCTGCACTTTTCCCAAGTCTCTCGCACCTTGATCGAAGGAACGAGTCAGCTATAAGATTATATCTGAGCAGGAAATGGGTTCCATAACTCTATTACTACGTAGTGACAAATCGATATCATCAGGATTTTACTCTATTTGTACTTGTACTTTTTTCAATCAAGGTATCGATGCTTACTCAGTAGCAGAAAGCTACCGAGTACTTTTAACTGAAACTAGGTAGGTAGGTAGGTAAAGTGGCTGTCATTCGACACACTTAGGCCTTTAGGAGGCCCATTGTGATACCACTGGGACTGTGATCCCCTCACTCTAATGGCTCCTCTCTGAACCACCCCGTACTTCTGATGAACTTCATCAGCGAGACAAGTTTTATCTGTGCAACCTCCGAGACGTCGTCAAGAAACCCACGACCGATGGTTGCGATTTTTTTCCTATACAGTGCTGCGCAATCGCATAAAAGATGTTTAATGGTCTCCTCCTCTTCTACTTCCTGACAACTTCTATAATAGTCGTTATATGGCGTGCCAAGTCTACTTGCATGTCTGCCTATTAGACAGTGGCCTGTTAGTACTCCTACTAGAGTTCTTATATCACTCCTCTTGAATTTTAACAGTCGGCATGTGCGGCTCATATTCCATTTTTGCCACGTTTGCCTGCTAGTTAAGCAGGTCAGGGACTGATTCCACTGACATTCGGCTATATTAATGACATATTTGTCGATTAAGTATCTACAAGTAGCCAGAGGCATATTTATGTCCTCCTTACCAGGATCTAGTTGTAGGGTGGTGCCTGTTTTGGCTAGCTAATCTGCTACGCAGTTCCCAGGGATGTCACTGTGTCCTGGGACCCATTGCAGATTTACCTTGAAATAGGATGACAGATCCGCTAGAAGATCATGGCAATCTTTCATTGTCTTCGACGAAGTCCTATGAGACATCAGAGATTTCAAAGCCGCCTGGCTGTCTGTATACATAAATACACTTCTTGTTGTGATTACACTTTTTGTTAGTACAAGAAGGCTTTCTTTAAATGCAGTGACCTCCGCTTGGAAGACACTGCAGTGGTCTGGTAACCGGAAGGCGATTTTGGTATCTAGTTTAGCCGAGAAGACACCGCCGCCTACTCGGTTATCCAGTTTGGAACCATCCGTATAGAAGCTTATCCCTGCTTCCTTGTCTACTACGCCCCTTTCCCATTCCTCTCTGGAGGGGAAGGCACTATTGAGGACCGGATTTAGGTTCAGCTCCATAGAATTGCGAAAATCCGTAGTTATGGGAAGAAACGGGAACTTTCTAAGTATCATAGAATGCCCCTTGTTGCTGGCGACTAGTAGGGAGGATTCCCTCAGTCTCAGAGCTGACTTCGCTGCCATTTGCTTGCAATACAGATCTGTTGGCAGCAAGTGTAAAATTATGTTGAGTGCCTGGCTTGGCGTAGTTCTGAGAGCTCCACTGATGCAAATACTAGCTTCTGATCGCATATTTCTTTTCTGTAATTGGCCACCATACTACTATACCGTAGGTCATGATCGGCCTTATAATTGCTGTGTACAGCCAGTGAGCCACCCGAGGTGTCAGTCCCCATCTGGGCCCCACCATTCTTTTACATGTGTAAAGCGCTGTAGCTGCTTTCTTTACCTTCGCTTCCAAGTTTTGTTTCCAAGAAAGCTTCCTGTCAAAAATTAGTCCCAAGTAGCTTGCTTTATCTCCTACCGTTAGCCTGGTGCCATTTAAAAATGGCGGCGTGATTTCTGGAGTACTGTGTTTCTTTGTGAACAATACTAGTTCTGTCTTGCTAGCATTTAAATTCAGTCCGCATGATACGGCCCATCGATTAATACCGTTTAATATTGTCTGCATAAGGCTAGCGAGGGTGTTCGGGAACTTGCCCCTAACCGAGACTGCCACATCATCAGCGTAGGCCACAACATGTACCCCCTTCTTTTCTAGACCCACAAGCATTTTATTCATTGTCAGGATCCAGAGAAGTGGGGATAACACGCTTCCTTGGGGTGTACCCCTTCGGACAGATCTGTGCATCGTTGAAGCTCCCAGCGTTGAAATAATTGACCTGCCCAAGAGCATCTGTTCAATTAATTTCCGGAGAGGCTCAGAGATGCCCAGATCTTTAAGCGCGCTCAATATGGCCTTCGGCTGGATGTTGTTAAAGGCACCTTCTATGTCTAGGAAGGCTACGAGGGTGTATTCTTTTATTTCCAGAGACTTTTCAATCTCTGCTACCACTGAGCTTAATGCCGTTTCTGTGGATCTACCCTTCGAGTACGCATGCTGCGAAACTGCCATTTTTCTTGGGTTTAGTATGTCCTTTATATGTATTTCTATTAGTCTCTCCAGCGTTTTTAAAAGAAATGATGAAAGACTAATTGGTCTAAAATCCTTTGGATTAATGTGTGAGCTTTTGCCAGCCTTTGGTATATATATCACCTTGACTTCCCTCCATATCGAGGGAATATAGTTTAAATTCAGTGCCCCTCTAAACATGGTTGTTAACCAGTTTATTGTGTAGCTCAGGGACTGCTGTAACTGAGCTGGGAATAAACCGTCTGGTCCTGGCGTTTTATAAGGCTTGAGGCTGCCTATTGCCCAATAAACATTGCTATCTGACACTATGTCTAGCGGAGGGGACTCTGAGCCTACTTCACTCTCCATTATATGCTCCCCTATGAGGTTCTCGGAACTGTCTGGGAAGTGAGTATCCATTAGTAGGTCCATTAGTCTGGCTTCTGAAGGTATCCGATGCTATGTTTGGACTGTGTCATTATCTTTCTCAGTCGAGACACTGCTGCCGTATTTTCGATGTCATTACAAAAAGATTTCCTTTCTGTATGTCCGAAGGTGGTTATGATAGTTATCCCACTCTATATCTTCTTGGGATAGTTTGGCAAAATTGAATTGCTTCCTGCAATTTTTCTGCATGTTCTTAAGTATTGGAGACCACCAAGGAGGTCTAATTCTTCCCCTACTGTACGTTAATGGACAAGCTACACCTCTAGTGCTTGACGACAAGAATCTGTGAATCGCTTAACGAGGATGTCTAGGTCCTCTTTCTTTTTCGGTTGAAATGGTGGAATCATAGGAATACGCTTTTTTAGCTCCTGCATGTGCATTTGCCAGTTCGTTTTCCTATGATTCCTAAATTTCTCTTCCCTAACTACATTTTCTTCAGTTATACACTCAATGTAGCGGTGATCTGAGAAGGAGTGTTCCTCCAATACCCTCCAATGTGTTATTTTATCCACCAGTTTTTCCGATACCAGTGTTATATCTAATACTTCCTGTCGGTTTCTGGCTATAAATGTTGGCGTAGTACCTTTGTTACATAACAAAAGCTTACTTCCATATTAAATAATTAAAGAGCAACTCACCCCTTTCATTAATATCCGTGCTTCCCCATACTGTGTGGTGCGCATTGGAGTCGCACCCAAGTATAATCGAACACTTGGATGCTTCGGTGTCTCGTACCATCTTTTTGAACAGCTGTGATGGTACTGCTACCTCGTCGTAGCATGATGCCAGCCGGTATTTCTTCTTACCCGTCTCCCAGCTTACCACTGTAGTGTCGTTACTACTGTAACTGTGTAATAAAAAGACATTAAGCTTTTTGCTAGCCAATATGAAATGTATAGGGGCTTACCTACACAACCATTCGCGTATAGATTATATCCTGGTGTCCTCAGACCGTAAATACGCCCTCCATTAACCCATGGCTCCTGAATGAGGACAAAGTCTGGCCGTTCTTCTGCCATGCGGTTAACTAGGGTAAGGCTTAGAGAGTCTGTCCGCAAGCTCAGACCCCGAAGTACACACACCTTGATCTGTGATCTCAGCGTCGCTCGAGGACTCCACTGGATCTTCCTAGACTTCGCACTCCGATTCCGATGCCAAGTCCTCCTGCATCGGCGTCTGACTTGTAGGTCATGACCTTCACTTTTGTGAATCCGTAGTTGATCTCACCGCCACCGGCGCTAGCGGTTCTACGGATTCTTTTGTTAGAAGCAGCAGAATCTGCATTGTGGCTCGTTTCGTCTCCACACCAGATTCCGCTGCGGGGTCGTCAAAGGCCTTGACGAATCTCCATCCCCCAGTTGGCAGATTCGGGTTGCAGGCTCTTATGAGCTGCATTATTTGGTCCGGCTGCGATGGCGTAGCCGGGATCCATACCCTTGCCCTCGGTCGGGATGGGATATCTTTTCTGTCTACCGCTACTAATTTGGCTCCGGGGTAGACCTCCTCCACCTTAGCTATTGCTGCCTTATATAGCTGGACCGATCTCTCGTCGTCACACGCTATCATCTTTATCTGCCCTTGATACCAACCGGCATCCGCACAGGACGGGGGTGGCCCTGGATTGCTTAGTAGCACTTCCAAAGCCACATTCGTCAGTGCGGCTTGCACCCATTTCCATTGGGCTCTGGGGATTTTTCCTTCGGGGTCACCCTCATCCAGTACCCCAATGACAATGCGGTTCCGGGCCACATCAGCAAAAGATCTTGCGGGCGTCACGCCCTTAGTTTTCGGTCTCTTAGCTGACGGCTTAGCCTCTTCAGCTGACCTTTGTCTTTTAGCTGCCACTACCGGCGCTTCTAGCTTGAAGTAAGGTAGAACAGCTCTCGTGCAATCAATGGATGGATTGGTTGGCGGTTGCAGCTCCACCTTCTTCAGCAGTTATGCAGCGCGTCGCCTCTCTGCATGCTTAGCTTTTGCTGGGTCGTCAATCCTAAAGGAAAGCCGTTCTCTGGCTGACCCACTACTGGCAGCATCACTTTTGGCATCTCCCTCCTTCTCCTGCTTACCTGCCAAGCCTTGGCTACAGGGGTTGGTATGGACTGCCTCCAGGGCTGCTGCTTTCATGGCGCCAGTCTTGGCTTCTGCCCCTTTAGTATTTGCCTTTGCTCCAGGACCAAGCTTCGCTCCTGTCCTCGCTTTGGCTGTGTAGGGGAAAGCATGTCCGCTTTCGCATAGCCCCCGCTACGCAAGTAAGGCTATCTTATTACGGAGGACGCCAGGTATCCGTAAGCTCCGTGCGAGACTGGGCTATTTAAGGGCCCCCAGCCAGATTGATTTTCGGCACGGGTCACATGACACCTTGATCCAGCCCTTTATATACCTCATACAATGGTAAGACATCCCTATCGGGATGCTGCACTATTGAAGAGTACCGAACACCCAGATAGGAAGCCTGACCTTAGCTTGATACCTCACTACTACAACAGGGACGAACTGCTGCCAGCTCGCCCTTTCCCAGGTCGTGACCCTGTGGTATCTATTCCCAGTCGGCACCCTCGTGGAGGGTTCAGCGGAGGATTTTGCCAACCCTAAATGAAACTAAATTTTAGTATTGTAGTTTTTTGTCAAATTTGCCAAAAACATCAAACATTAATTTTACAGAAAATGTAAAAAATTAGGAAACAAATAAGGAAGGTTAGGTTCAGGTGTAACCGAACCTTTTATACTCTTACAACGTGCAAGGATCCCTTAAAGGCACTATTTGTACAAAGTTTTATCTGAATATATTCATTGGTGCTGGACTTGTGTACTGGAAAGTAAAATAATCATATGCTATTTAAAATTGTGCTCTATGGGAAGTAGGCGTAGTTGTATTCCGACTCCGCCCACTTTCACAATCAGACATATGATCGTCAAGATTATGTTATATACCGAGTTTGGTTGGAATTGGACTAGTAGCTCAGGAGATATGTCATTTCACCTAAATGTGGGCGGTACCACGCCCATCGCCCAGTTTTGACCCCAGCTTCTATAGCGCCCTCTTGTTTCATTCTGTGTGTAAAATTTAAAGTATTTGGTGCATTTGGTTATGGATTTCGCTTTAAGTAGTTTTTAACAAAACCGTTATATAGGGAGAGGGCAGGATTATAAACCATGTACACTAAATCAAAATTTTTAATTCAGAGGTGTCCCTTCCTACTGCAATCCCCTGAACCAAATAACAGGTTTTAATCTTAATTTAGTGCTTAGTTATTGCATTTGATGAGTTTACGATTAATGGCGTTTTGTGGGCGTGGCCGATTACGCCCATCTACGAGCTTGTTCTTACTTTTTTTTGCCAAGGAACACGTGTGCCAAGTTTAATTGAAATATTTTTGGTTTTACTTAAGTTATCGCTTGCATAGACGAACGATCGGACAGGCAGTCACTCGGAATTCAACTCGCCTTATCAACCAGATCATTTATGTATATACAATATATATAACCCTACATTTAGCTCGATCTTTTTAGGTGATACAAATAACCGTTAGGTGAACAAAACTATTATAGTCTGTAGTTACAGGATGCAAGAGTATAAAAATATTACAATATATTCAAAAATAAATATTAAGAAAAATTTATTTTATTGTATTATTTGCCAAAAACATCAAATACCAATTTTATAGGCAATGTAATATGTTAAAAAAAAAAATAAGATTCAAAAATAAATCTTAAAAAAATATCGGTTCTTGTAATACTTGCCAAAAACATCAACTTTGCCAAGTGCTTTCCTGAAAGACGATTTATGGATTTTGATATATACTTCTTTAATGAAATTTCGCAGTTTTAAGATAGCTTGACAACATGCAAGCGGATCTTAAAAATTGATATTTTGAAACCTTGGATCCTGGATAGTGATTAAAGCTGTGTGTGAGTTGTATTCAATTTTACCGAATCTGCGATTCAGATCAGATCTAAAAATTTCTGCATAAGGCGATGTAAACTTACGAAGAGTTGTGCTTAAGCAATTTATCATTGATATACCTTTATATACAGTCAAACAGTTTTCACCAGATACTTCTCTAGTCAAATATTCAAATGGTTCTAGTAGAATGATTACCCTTTTCAAAATTTTTATATCTTGCCTTGTAACTAGATATTGGCTTATACGTTGAGTATTAAATTTTTTACAGATCCTTCAAGAATGCTTTCTTGTACCTGGAATTTCCGTACTTTTCGTACTGTCTGGTGCCAATAGCACAGACATATAGAACTCTATATTCTTAAACGAGTGTGAGTATGTTCTTAAACGTGCGGAGTATGTTCTTAACGTGTACCAGCTTTTTTTTTGAATTTGAACTATGCAAATTGCGGTGTTCCTCGTTCATTCAGTGTTGTTCGCAGCAATAAGTTCTGGTCTTCCGATACCTATCGCAGTAAAAAGTATCGATTACAAAAATACTTAGTGACTTGAGAAAAGCATCGAGTATGTACTTGTATTTACTTGTATCGATTCGTCCATAGCGTTCCATAGTGGCAGACATAACGAAATCTATTATTGGGGCAGATTTTTGGCAAATTTGCCATCTTACCAGACCTCAAGAACAGCTCGATAACTGGACTAAAAGTTGCTTGTAAGTTATCAGTATCCAACATCATTTCGGTAATTAAAGCACAGAACGTCCACCGTATATGGGCAGATACGCTAAGTTCCCTAGTCTGCCAATGGAATATGCAGCTAATAAAACATACGACGCAGCACTACATAACTACTACACCTGGACCTCTTGTTTCATGTAAGGCCCGAAGATTTGTCACCGACAACCTCAAAATTGCCAGGACAGAATTCGATAAAATGTTACAATTAGGAATCACTAAATATTCGAAAAGATCCTAAGCATCTGTGCTGCACTTGGTTCCAAACAAGTTTGGTGAATGGCGACCTTGTGGAGATTATCGACGACTTAATGCCCGTACATTGCCAAATCGATATCCCGTTCGTGTTCCTGAAGACTTAACTGTCAATATAACCGGTAAAATAATATTTTCAACCTCTTGACCTCGTGCGCGTTTTTCATCAAATACCTGTCGCCAAAGAAGGTGTCGATTGCAATTACTATAACACCGTTCAGTATTTTCCGCAACATTCAAACAATTTATTGACGAGGGGGACTAGACGACCCTATATTCCCAGAAGAACAGCTCACTAAATATGGTGTTGTAATTAACACCGCGCTAATTGCCGTTTTGGTCAGTCGGAAGTAAATTTTTTGGGACACCGCATTTCAGCAACAACATATTTCCTCTTCCAGGTAAATTAGACGCGATCAAGGGACTTCAATAAAAGGTTCTCACCCGGTCCTCTAAACACCAGAAGGAGACGCAGCGTTTTTCCGATGCAAAGAAGATCTACGCAAAGCAACGATATTAGCATGCCCGGCACAACGCTTGCTTGGGCAATATATACGGAAGTCTCCGTGTATATTTTCGAAGCACGACATGTCACGATATTCACTGATCACAAACCGCTTGTTTCACGCTTTTGCTTAGGATCCTGATCGAGCGACACCTTGGCAATTCCATCGCCTGGATTTCATCAGCCAGTTTACAACCGATATCCAATACATACCCGGCAAAGACAACATCGTCGCAAATGCTCTTTCTAACATCGAAGAAATATCAACGGCAGTATCCTCAAACTCACAAACTGAAGACGAGGAACTTCAGTAACGTATACAGAGGAAACAGCACGATTCACTAAATTTACGACCTGTTAATATTCCAGGCTGCAAAAAACTAATTTATTGTGACGTTTCTAGTCACCTTATTCGCCCATACGTTCCCACAGCTCTTAGGAAGAGAATATTCGACGCTCTTCATAGCGTTACTCATCCCGGAACACGAGTCTCCACCAAATTGTTAACGTTTGGCTTAGCATTAACCGCGCCTAGCTTGCCAACGAAATAAGATATCTCGAAACGTTTTATCACTAATTCAAAACTTTCCATGCCACACAAGACGAACATAGTCACGTGGATATCATTGGACCATACGTACCATCAAGAAGGTATCGTAACTGCTTAACAATCGACCAGGTTTTCAGACACATTTCCTATTGATAATATCGGGGCCGAATGTGTCACCCGTACATTTTTCGCAGGATGGATATGCCGCTACGGAGGACCGTTACAAATCACGACCGGGTACGTGTACACAGTTTGAGAGTCAACTTTTTAACGCTCTCGCTCGCCTCCTCGGCAGTAAACACATACACACCATCACTTCACAACACTTATTAAATTAACTTCACCGGTGTCCTCAGAAACTGGGACATTTCGATTTTCGTTGTCATCGTACCGTCCATCAGAATCCGATTTCAGCTTACCCACATTTTGCGACTGTGATGTTAGAGGCTGTTTCTTGCAAATTTTGGGTCGCTAAAACCTAAAATGATGGTAAAATGGTTAACATTTCCTAACACGTAGTATTTTTTGAGTTGTAGTCAAGGGGTATAGGTCAAACCACCACCATTTATTTATTGCCAAAAATAGCTGTACGTGATGGAAAATTTTTGAACTCAAATCCGTAATCAATGATTGCGTAGTGTTATCAATGATTGCGTTAATACTCTCCGAGAAGGGGAGTACTTGTGGGCCGAGCCACAATTAATATATTTCACTTTCTTATACAATATTACAACATGCTAACGCTACGTCCGCAAGTCAACAAATACATAATCAACAGTTAGGCTCGAGGACGTCTACTGTTATTATAAAATA